GAATGTGTACTGCTTTCGCTGAATGAAAACATTTACATCTTCGTCGATTCACTGATTTGAAGTAAAGCTTTATGTTACGTTTCCTTTCAGAATTGGTATGGAAATGATATCAAGATGAGATTTTTGAAAAACTGCAGGAATATACTTGCTGAAAGACTTTGTTTTGACACTTTAAATGATGTTTGATTAGCCGCTTCGACGTGCCGGCACTTCAGCATCACCGACGAAAAAATTCACAAAGCCACAAATAACACATGAAAGCATTGGTCGTATGAACTCCGTTTCATGGATAAGAAGGTGGAATTCATGTTCATAGAGATTTTTTATTGAACTGGTATCTGGTAACAATATCAAACTGAAGATAATTTTATGCGAGCGATGCAAGAACTGCAATGACAACAAACCGTACGAAAATATTCCCAAAGCTACAAATAAAGACCTTGGTCGGATAAATTACGTTTAATAAATAAGCTGGTATTCATATTTTTAGGTTAAACTAGTAGCTTGTTTATCGTGTACTTGTATGTAACGAATTTATAAAGAGACTCATTATGAACAATCGTTGAACTGAAAGAAATCTCGATTCTCAAGCGCAAATCGACATATTCTTGTAGTACTTTTCTTAAGTAGTATCTCAATRAAATGCAAAATACTCACTAAATTCCTCAATTTTTAGCTTCATAGAAAAATGTAACTTGCTTTTCACACGTTATTTACAATAATAAAAATGCAGTTAAGCTTATTACGTTTTTGATTTTTCACTTCCAGTTTCAAGTTGCTTTGTTTATCTATAGTTTATACCGAAGATTCTATGCACTCAAAAACTACAAGAAATGCAGAATACTCATAACTAGTTGTTGCCAAGTTTTCGGATACATTTTTGTATAAATAGCTGATTTTTTTCCTATTCTACTTCTAGTTTTGAATCGCACTTGACAAAAAATGGTGACGTCAAAACCATGTTTACATACTCTGATACAAACACGGCAGTCGGCCAATCAAAACGTGCGTAGTATCCAAGTTATTTTATAATATGCTATATGTTATGATTTTATCCCTTTTCTTTTTTCTTCGCTGTTATTTTCTTACCACATGTTACGAGCTGAATYTTTTCCACTTCATTCAACAAGCTATCAAATCCAGGAACACTGTAGACATAATTTGGGGAAGTCGCAACCTCTACGAGCTGCTGAAGACTGATGGCTGGACCAACACCTACTGTATAGATCTCGATGTTCTTTTTTCTGAGTTGTTCCGATGCATCGTAAAGTGGTGTATAGGGACCACCTCCTACTGTTTGCATGCCGTCTGTCATTACTACTATAACCTGCAAGACAATGTCTATTATTATATATCAAGTGTCAAAGTTCACTTTTCCTAGTATCTTATTGGTCGAGAGTGTACCACGTGAAAGTCACAAAATTTTACTGTTTCCCGGCAACTGTCCACCAGCGGTCAATAATATGTTGTGGACCGTCAATAAGTACAAA